TTACAGAGGGCAGAGGAGGCTATCTCCTTCCAATTTCTCACCACATCAGCCACAGAATAATCTGAGAACAATTCCATAGTTTTCAACCAATGTGCTACCCTTAACAGGATTAGATCTAATAAGTTTCCAATGGTTCTTTCCTTATCTGAAAATATTTGTGATTTTCTTTCTTCCCATAGAGACCAACACACTGCAGCCCTAATGCTTCTCCACATAGTCTTCCCTCTCTTCTTCAGCCATCTGAAAAAAGATGGAGAGAACAAGCTTTGGACACTCCCAGGGGGAATCCAAACACACCTAAAAAGGGAAAAGACCCACTCTCAAACTGATTTAGCAACCGAACAAGTGACCATAAGGTGGTAACTAGTTTCCCCATCGGCTTTACAAAGAGTACATCTATTAGGAAGTAAACAATAGTTGGGTCTCTTCTTCTGAAGTAGGTCATTTGTGTTAATTCTTTCCAGGAAAGTTTCCCAACAAAAACTACCAACATTAGGAGGAATGGGCCTACTCCAAATTTCTTTAACCGGGAAAGACAACCCAATGGGATTAGAAGGCTGAGTTAAAGTCTCGAAAAATGAGGCACAAGAGAAAACACCTAAAGAGGAGGGAACCCAAAATCTGGTGTCCTCCTTAATGGGATCCAAGAAGACATTTTCAAGGATGGCTAACAAAGACAAAATGTGGTCCAAGTCTGTGTCCCTAATTGCCCTTCTTAGCCCTAGGTTCCACCTAAATCCTGAAGGAGAGTTTGAGGGGGTTAAGAAGGAAGAAATGGGTTCATTTTTCAAATCAGAAAGAGCATACAAAGAGGGGAATTGGTCCATTAGAGGTGAGTCCCCGACCCAAAGTTGTTCCCAAAATTTTATTTTATTACCGGAGTTAAGACCATACCTGATACAAGGGGAGAATACTGGAAGCAGTTTGTGTATGGCTGACCAAGGAGAAGTGGCTGTAGTCTTTGCCAAGATTCCAGGTTCCCAACCATTGTCTTCCAACCCATGTATACTAGCCACAATCTTTGTCCACAACTTGTCTCTTTCCAATGGAAACCTCCATAGCCATTTCCCCAACAATGCCATGTTCCTCTTCCTAAGATTCCCAATCCCAAGACCTCCTAGCTTTTTACCTCTAGTTTTCACCTCCCAATTCACCCTATGGTCTCGTTTCTCCTCTCTAGGCTCCCACAAGAAATCCCTCATAAGCTTTTCCAAAGTGTTAGAGACCTTTGTGGGGATCTTAAACACAGCTAGGAAGTACACAGGAAGATTAGCTAGGGTTGATCTAATCAAAGTGATTCTCCCCCCCAAGGAAAGATAATTTTTCCTCCAAGAGGCAAGCCCTTTCCCAAATCTCTCCACCCCCAGGTTCCAAAAGCTTACCTTCTTAGGGTTATCCCCCAGGGGGAGGCCTAAGTAAGCCATCGGCCAATCCGAGGTTGCACACCCTAAGACATCTGCATACTCTCTAAGCTCCCTCTCCTCCATATTCACACCCGCCAAACTACTTTTATCCAAATTCACCTTGAGATTGGATACCCGCTCAAAGAGTTGTATTGCCAACTTTAGGTTCCGAATCCATTCAATACATGATATGGTTGTTTCTACATGGAGAAATATAGAGCTTATATTGATTGAAAAGCTAGTTTTGTGTTTTTTCATGAAACCAGGATATAAAGAATTCTTCTCAAATCAGTAGTGCCATGAAATTATGTAATTAATTTGCAATCTTTTTGGTCACTTACGATTTGAAAGAGATTGTATTTATATTAAAGTATTATCAAAAGAGATTACCATCTATTATCACCTACAGGATTTTGCAATTTCCTGCTTCCTAAATTAGATGGTAATCCCCTGTTAAAACCATTCTATCAAGGCCACTAAATTCTTTATTTTTAAAGTCAATCAGTAAAGGAACTTATTTCCCAACACTACTTTGGAAGTCACTTCTTATCTATAAAGATTTATTTATTTTTTGATACTCATCTATAAAGATATAGTAGAAATCACTGATTGCAGTTTTAGATGAATTCCTTAGGAAGAGAAAGAAGAAGAAGATGAAGAGTTTTAGCAGTAGAGAGAAGAGAGGAGAAGAAAAGGAGTGGGATGTCAACCAGAATTGAATTATTCTGGCCGTCACCCCTCTTTGTATTATATACTCAAATTAAAAGAATAAGAGATTACAAGAATTCCCTTAGTAGGGTGACTACTTAAGTAGCTGAACAGTCACAACTTAAAAAACAT